AATATACCTGTAGGCCAACTGTTTGCCGAACTATAGAGCCGTCAATTTTTGGGCTTTCTCGTCGCAGCGCTCTTTTCGCTTGTCATTAGTGGGCATGAAAGACAAGTTTGGAAACGAAATGTAGACGTTTCCTTATAGAAAATTGAGACTGGCTTTTTAGGCGCGCCGCCATTTTGAAAACTTCAAAACTGGCAAACATCGTCTTAAACCGGTTTGATCGAAAAAAGGGTATTCTTACGTGAAAGAGCGTTCAATTTTCTATAAGGAAACGTCTACATTTCATTTTCAAACTTGCCTCTCATGCCCACTAATGACAAGCGAAAAGAGCGCTGCGACGAGAAAGCTCAAAAATTGGGTGGCCCACTTAGCATGGAATGCCCCATATGGGTATATAAATTAGTTGTATGAATTACTGTCTCAGACTCTCGTACTCGTCATTGATTTGTAACCATTAAAATATTGTATAATACTCGTACATATGTATTGTATAATCTATTATAAAATATTATATATGGTATTTAATATTTCATACATCATGATGAGTTTTTAATATATTTATGTGAAACATACTCCCATGTTTTTTAATAACTGTACATCTTCTTTATATTTATGATAGGAATCACAAGCCACATCGCCGTTGCTACCATCAACTATTAATTCTGGATGTTCATGCGCAAATTTGTCCCAAACATTCTCGCCCTTACCTTTTTAAAATTAAGCACATCATAAATTAATTATAAAATTGATGAAAACGTCTGTACAATATTCCATAAATCCTACTTATATACTTAAGATATCTTAATACTTCAATAATTAAATGATATTAAATTTTAAATAGAAACTCCTTACATACCACCTTCATTCCAACCTCCTTCTATTTGATAAGCAGATGAAGCAGCACCAAATAGAAAATCTTTAGGAAAAGATAACGTGTTGTCAGCAAAGCTATGCGTGACAATAAAAATAAAGCTGAAAGCTATCCTGAGAAGTGCATAGCTCGCCATTGTGAAGACGACTGAGCATGAGTAACGCTGAGTATTATCAGTTGCACACTGGCCTCTATCTATATATTCTTCTAAAAATAGCAATTACTCTCTTAATGTTTGCTCCTCCTACACATTGTGTAACTTCCTATTTATGTACACAAACACCTACATAATATTCTCGATTAGTGCACATTTATGCAATACGTAATTTAATCAAGCCTTTCCTATGAGTTTCTTTGAATCAATTTTTTCTAATTGTAGTTTACTGTAAGCTTTTGTATAAACATTAAATATAAAAACACAAATGGTAATTGCTTTTTAGAACTTTTTATTTTTCACAACATATGCTAACGTATAAGTATAATATTTGAATGGTTTAAAAAAATTATGTTTAAAAATAATATTTATAAAACAAAATAATAGTATATTATATGTTTGCATCAAAATACACAGACAATAATTAAATATTAAAGAAATTATGTAGATATAAAACATAGTATCTTAAAAATAAAAAAATTATATGTATAACGATTACACATCCGTCGCACATCTATTAACGGAATAATAATTGTAACGTAACTTTCGGTTACAGTAGCAATATTCACAAGTAGCAATTTGTTCTTATTGCGAAAGTACGTCTCGTGCGTATGTGTGTCGCAATTTACCTATATATGGGTATAGTAAGTTTGTTTAAAGTTATGTATCATTCTGCTTCAGAGTATTTTTTTTAGTACTCTTGAATAAGATTTTTGTGTAACAATGATATGTAATAGTAGAAACTCACATAACTTCTATAATGTATCATTTAACGATAGATTGCACGAAAATTTAATTTATAATAAATAGTAATATATTTTACATCTCAATATTGCCATTTTATATCATATAGTTCAAAAGTTGCTAATAGGCTTACGGATTACCACCATGTCATTTAGTTATTAACTAAAACTATTTAGTATTTTAATGGTCAATAAATTATTCAGTTTGTATTTTATTAGTTTTAGTTAGTTTAATCAATTAGTTTTCTTCTCAAATACAAATTTTAATTAATTAATAGATTAAATTTATAAGATTAACAGAGATTTCTAATCTCTTCGTGTAAAAATATGATAAGATTAAATACCGATGAGAATAAGCCATTTACGGTTAAGCTTCGATGCTTCTAATATAATTTTCGTGTGAATTTATATACTACTATGTAAATCTCTAAATGCACGCTGAAATTTTTTCAGACTTACAAAACTCAAACTAATAAACTACCGCAGTACTGTCACGAGTTAAATTGACTAACAATCTAACAATTTTGATACTCATTGCATCTTGGATCTTAATAATATGTTGAATGACATATTAAAATCTATGAGTGTTCATATTAAAAAACAAGATAATTACAAGACTCATATAAATAGATCCAAAAAACAATAAAATGTCAATGTGAGTCGACACAAGTTATCAGTGTTTCTTTACATATAAATTTTATTCAAAATAAACAAAAAGAACGTATACGTTTCCATCCTCATTCAGGTCCTCTTCAGTACAAAAAAAAAATAAATTACATATAAAGGTCATACATGTAAAAATATTGCATAAAGTACGAAATACCGTGGTAGTAATGTCCAAAATTCAAGCCAAATCTTGTCATGAAATTGATAAGTTTAATGATTTATCAAGATTAGACTGTTATCATTGTGGTACGTGTACCAGCTTCATTACGCTGCTCAGTTTAATGGAATTTAAAAGAAAGTTATTAGACAAGACATTAACTATTTGATAGATAAATGTGAAATAGAATGACCTTTATATTTAATTAATTTTTCTTTGTACTAAAGAGGATCTGAATGAAGGTCGAAACGTATACGTTTTTTTTCTTCATTTTGAATAAAATTTATATATAAAGATACACACACACTGATAATTTGTATCGGCTCATATTGGCATTTTATTGTTTCCTTTGGATTATATTAAAAATCTGTAAATAATTTAATTACATTGTGAAAAATATTACCTCGGAGAGTCGAAGTCGAACCTGGATCGCTTGCTTTACGCGCAAGTGTCCTAGCCAATTAGATTACCGAGGCCTTAGTAATATTCTTCGCTTATACTTATACTTCGCTTATATAATAATTGTATAAGTAGTAATCAACGTCTATTTTCAAACGACGTAAACAAACATTTTGACTTTCATGGTAAAAAATAAGATTTGATATTGTATGATAAGATTAGTTGTATATCTGTTAATTTATATTTTATCAATCCATTTAATCGATTAAAATTTATTTGAATCAATAAACAAGCTCTATATATGTGTAATTGGAAATTTAAAGTTCAAAATTTTATGCGATAAATATCAATATTTACGATGTTATATTGTATAATATTATTATTTTTCACATATTAGTATCTAAAGATAAATGTGTCTTCCACACTTTTACACATTGTAAAAGAAAAAACTCTTGGTAATTATTCAGAATAAGCGAGATATAGCACCGATGACTTTGACCTTGACATATTTTTTAGCCGTTGCTCGTCCTTTGTTAAAAAGTTATGAACAAAAAAAGCTGTGTTTTGGCCAATCACAGGGTTTGGTTTTTCTCTTATGCGTGACTAGGGAAAATTTATGAACACGCATAAAAAAAATTATTTACCTATTTTATAAACGGTTAAATGATAGACATTCCATTTCAAATATAACATGGAAATGGTTTTCCAAAAAACCATTTAAAATGGAAAATGTAAAATACCATTTCTATTTTAAATATGTATTTAAAATGGAAACTATTTTAGATATTATCCAGCCCTGGTTGTACGTGGGTTCCGACTTTCCATGCAAAGTGAGAACTACCTCACACCAAAATAAATAGGTTAGGTTAAGTTATTTTGATGCTATAGTAGTTGAGCCCCCCCGTAGGGGGGCGAAAACCACTATTTTCACGCATACACTTTACAATATAAAGAGACATGGGAGTTGTAAGCTCCTTCGCAGGGGGAAAGAAAGGATGAGAGTTGCTTCGCGTGAATGCAGTAGGTTCCGCCTCCCCTGCAAGAGGGTTCCACTACTGAAAAAAAATAACCTAACTCAATCCATTTTTTGATGTGAGGTAGCATTCACTTCGCGTAGAAAAAGTTCAACTACATAACATGAAATTTTCCTGGTTTAAAAGTAAAAAATAGTTGGCGTGTTTACGATGCTTTATCTAATGAAAATTATATACAAACTGTGAATCATTCTTGTAACTTTGTGAATTCTATCAATGGAATTTATACTTAAAATATTGAACGATTGTGGCGTGATATACGCAATGGAATATCTTGCTTTGGTACGCGAGAGTATCATTTACACACATTATTTAGCTGAATTTATTTTCAAACAAAAATATGATTATTCTGATAGAATTGATCAGTTTTTTGTGATATTTTGGTTAATTTTTATCCAATTAAGGAAATTACTGAAGAAAATAGTAATTAAGTTTATTACACAATTAAATGTTATTTTAATACATCATCAAGTGTTATATTATACTTTATCATAATATCGTTCAATAAAGTATTGAAACAGTCGTACGAAAAGATAACCACATTTCCATATTGAACTCTTCCACTGCGCGAAACTGGTGAAATCAAAAATATGATTCGCGTCGAGGCTAGATATTTTTCGTTGTGTTACCACCATTTGTGAAACTAGGTACATTCCAGACTTTCAGACATTGCATGACTCAATAAATATGTTATAAAAAAACATATTTATTCAGAATAATCAACATAATGCCTAATGAATAATGCATAATGATATAATGTCCTCCCCTCTCTCTCTCCCTCTCACAGAAATAAAAATAATTTTGTAATGAAGTTTTTAATATTGCCACAATATGAATGTAACTATCGACACAAGTAAAATACATATAATATATATATACAATCGGTCAAATATTCTTATTTTTAAGAGGATGCTGGAGTGACCAAATTATTGACATTATAGTCGTATATAAATCTCCGAATTGATTAAACAAAATTGCAAAAGTTAAATAAATTTCTAACTTTTTTTCGATTTTAGTATAAAGTCCACTACAACACCTTCTAATTTTTGCGTCAACTTTAATCTTGTAAAAAGATTTCTGATTCCGTTTAGTTAATTTGGAAATTTTTATACACTGTAATGTCAATAATTTGATCACTCCAGCTCTTAAATATTAAAAATATATAGGTTTTACGATAAGAAAGAGAGAGAAAATAATTTTAATTACAATAACAACTGTCAATACAGATTCTACTCAATTTCGAATGCTGCTATCAATCGCATGATTAGATACATGATTAGATTATTATCAAGTTTATGAAGTATGTGTTTACGTTATATATACATGTCGTTTTAATTTATATCTATTGTTTTATCAAGCTTTAATTAGATAATATAAGATGTATTATTTTGATTAACCATATCAATTGTAACAGATCATATTAGTATTTTAATTGAACTATTTGAATATGATTGAAAATCTCAAATATAATTATGACACATTATACGTATACATATAATAAATATAAAGTTAAACGAGAAACAAAATTGTCATTCATATGCATGTGCCATAATTTACAGAGAAAAAATATATAATTTACATATGTACACGCTATGTACACATAGTAATCAAAGATTATCTAAATATATATATATATATATATATAATAGATATACAGGACTTTTCAAATTAGTTAAGTCCGCTCTACCTGCGCATGTAATTTGTCACGGTCGTTTTGGGACACCTTGTGTGTGTGTGTGTGTGTTGTTTGTGTGTGTGTTTTGTTGTGTATACATATATTATATTTTTATATCATATATATTTAATCAAAAATCAAAATTTAATGTAATTTATGCACCTGAAAGTATATTATAAAGTATATTGTAAAATAGTATATGCAAACTGAAGCAAGAAAAATTTTGTTATTGACATATCTTATTTGTTATCAAGATCTAAAGCAATAAATATATGCAACATTATTAAATAGAAATTTGTACAAAAACA